ACTTACAGCGCCTACTGTTCGCTTGACTCAATTATCTATCTCTTCAATCTATCTATATCTCTTCAAATTGCACTGTTTTTTCTTGCTAGGCTTATATACTAAAAAAGAGGGCATCTAGTAGACACTGGGACATTCACAGGGTTCCTCGATAAGTCATGATCCTTCTAGAAACTCCAGCATCACGTGACTTTCGCTGTCGTAACACTATGATGAACAATACTCACAGAGCAAGAAAAACTCAGAGGTTTTGAGAAAGATGACTACAACAATACTACAACCATTGAACTACACACCAAAAATACGACTCTTATCCGAGTTACGTAATGAAATTTGTTATAACAGTCATTTTTAAAATAATTAACTTTAACACTCTTATTACGAAAACTAAATAATCATTAAATATTAGATCACTAAATGAACTAAATAATAACTCTTACACTAAACAGTCTTGTATATCCAACATAGGGCTGTCTTTGAGCTGTTTTTTTTTAATAGTTTAGTTTGGTGAATGGGTCAGTCTAGGTGGACCAATAGATCCCGTGTTGTCCTTAACATTGTCCTTATGGTGAGGTTAAAAAATGAGAATAAATGCAACATATTCACATGTAAATCTCTCCTCCCCCCCACAACAAAAATTATTGAGCAAAAAGTAAAACACAGAATCGGTGATGGATTATAGCCTTCTTCGTCATGTAGAATGTTAGAACAAAGTAGAGGTATATATCAAGGCCTGAGATCCATTTGACAGCATCAGGTGTTGTCGAATGTAGGTCACTGATACATCCCCAAAAAGCAGCATTTAGGACACAAATTTACAATAATATGGTGGATTGATTGTATTAGATGGCAACTATCACACACAGGGTGTCTTTGTGTTACACTTGTATAACAGGTAGCCACACCATTGTAGCATATATACTGTATGTATTGTTGTGAACATGCCACAACACTGTATGTTTTGTTGTAAACATACTAAAATCTGATTATTTGTTTTAATCTCAAGCACATGAAAGTATAAGCATACTTTATATTCTCTGTGTACTAATAGTTAGCAATTTATTCTAGTTCCTGTAAATACCTGTGCTCAGCCTTTCGATAAGGGACCTTGTAGAGGATTTTTTCCACAGTGGTATTACGATTCCAGAATTAACATTTGCAAGCGATTCATCTATGGAGGATGTGAAGGAAATAGCAATAGATTTAGTGATCGAAGAGAATGTGAACTTCGCTGTGTGAAAAAACCAACTGAAGGTAACATTTATATCATTACTGAAAGAAGGTGGGATAAAAATACATAGTTTTTAATGTTTGATTGACATGCTTTATGCACTTTAACTTAATATTATTTTGTTACACTGAAATTTTCAAGGCTTTAAAAACAAAATAACTGCTTTTTTGTTACATTTTTGTGTACATAATAAATTTATTTCTTGTATTAATAAACATTTATGTAAGTTACGTGAATTATATCTTCTAATATTACAGAAAAACATGCAACAACAAAACCAGTCATCAAAGGCAATGCAGGTAATCTACTTTTTCTAAATAAATAATGATATGATTTCAGTTTTTATATAAAATGGCATAGGGTTTTTATAAATTTTTTGATATTTTTAACTTACATAATTACTTCTCACATAACAAAATGTATAGATTTTATTAATACATGTCTCACAGGCCACACAAGCATGATTATGAAATTTTGAAAGAGGATTGTTTTGAAGAACTCTGAACTCTGATCTTTTCATCTAAAAATATGTAATAAAATATGCTTAAGAAATTTGTTTTATTAACCTAATTGCTTTTTATTTCATTCAAGAAATTAATTTTTTGCTTTTTTATTTGATGTGCAGAATAGTAATGCTAATATTGTTTTTGCATCTTTTCAAAAATATGGATAAGCTAGAATACTTAGTTTTTGCTTCTCTTCTGCTGAATTGAAACTATGGATTTAGAGATGTTTCATTTATTTTGTAACATATATTTGGAATTATATAGCATATTATCTATTTTTCCCTCTATTTTTGTATGCATTAAAACTGGTTGGTTTGTCCTACCTTGCCATAATCCACGTGTACGTGTACGTTAGAAGAAACCATGACAATTTTGTTTTTATTTGCACTAGATGTCTGTTCATTGTCTGTTGATCCTGGGACCTGCAGTCAATCTTTGCCTCGCTGGTTTTTTGATCCAAAGAGTCAACAGTGCTTACCTTTTGTTTATAGTGGCTGTAAAGGGAATAAAAACCGTTTCAAATCCTATGAGTTTTGCATGAAATTTTGCACTGAAAGTACTCGTAAGTATAGTTATCAAGGTATCTCCCATAGCAGATCTTATTCCACAAAATTTGGCACTAAATGTACCTTTGTCAGTGCAGCTAAATCCATTATATTTAAGCTACAGCAAATACTTGAGTATGAAACATATTATTCTAATATAATTACAATTTGACAAACAATGATGTATAAGCATAATGAAGTGATTCATTTTGGGAGGAACATATTACATGTTTCAGCAGAGCATTAGTCTGTCTTCTTTTGGTACTTAATATTTATCTACAACTACCTTTGTCAGCTCTCATTAATATATCTCATTGTTAGGACTTAATTCTTTTAAGGCATTGACATCATTGGTATTAAGGTTGGGTTTTATGTGCTTATATGTTGAAAGTCTAGAGTGTTTGTAAGTTTTGATTTTTTTTTTTGCTTCATTGAGATTCAATTTAAATTTCAAATTTAACTTGGATTCTGTGGTAGCAACAATTTATTCCATAAGTTAAGTTCTAGGTTTGACAGCAGAGTTTAAACCTAAGTTTAACATAGAAATCTGATTATCAGTTAATAGTTCACTTTAGATATTTAAAACTGAAGAAGAAAGATTAACAGGTTGCAAATTTTATACCTCTGTTTTCTGGTTTTCTATCAACTTCTCGAGTTTCTTATTATGGTTGGTCCATTTCTTTTTGGCGCTGTTGGTTGGTCTAAACCAGCTGACATAGTCAAGACTGTTCCAATCTTTGAAGGCTAACTTGTTAGCAGGTTCCAGATGTTTTTGGTAAACTTGGACTTTTAACATTGAACTGTTTCTGTGAATTTCCTTTATGGTGGCTCTTAAAACTGCAAGCTTTTTTTTTTATTCACAGTTTGACCCATTGAGAAGTTATATAACACTTGATTTGAATATAACTGGGTATGACTTTAGAAGACTTGTGTACCTAAAGTTTGTTTGTTTGTTTGAATTTTCGCGCAAAGCTACACGAGGACTATCTGCGCTAGCCATCCCTAATTTAGCAGTGTAAGACTAGAGGGAAGGCAGCTAGTCATCACCACCCACCGCCAACTACACTTTTACCAACGAATAGCGGGATTGACTGTCACATTATAATTCCCCCACGGCTGAAAGGGCGAGCATGTTTGGTGTGAAGGGGACTCAAACCCGCGACCTGCAGATTGCGAGTCATTACAATAGATTATTTAAGGCAGTATGGACTTCCTTTTTTTCTTAATTTGAATTTTATTTCTTGTTATATAACATATGTGTAGAACAGTGGTGACTTGTAACACTAGAAACTAATGAGGCACAGAGACAGTGACTGGAGATGATGTCTGGGAGCCATGTTTTATAGAAAAAAACACATGAAAATTGTTGTAAAGCTTGTTATTACCAAAATATATGTCTGCGGACTTACAATGCTAGAAACCGGGTTTCGATACCCGTGGTGGGCAGAGCACAGATAGCCTATGTGTACCTTTGTGCATAATTAAAAACATACATACATACATTACCAAAATAATATCAATACCAAATATTAAAGCTAATAATTATTGCAATATCCTTCTGTATTTTCAATCATGTAATAATATAAAGTATAGATGCTAACTTATACAGTTGTGTTCCATTTTTGTAAGCCTTACTAAAGCCACTGCACATTGTAAATATACCATTAAAAGATAGCAAAATATAATTTTTTTTTATTTACTCTAACACATAACATCACAATCAAATTACGAAACATTTATGTAAAGACTTAAATAAGGTTAATATTTATTTTCCAGCATTTTGGCTTAAACTTTTATCAGTAAGGACATCTCAGTTAACAATTGTCTTCATTTATATACCAATTTCAGCAGTTCTGGTCAATGACAATGAACAAGATATGATCCACACATCTGTACTACCATATGAACCTACCTGCCCATCTTCAAACTGTGGTCAACTTCAGTGTACATTTGGAATAGATGAATATAAAGATCAGCAAGGTTGCACCTTCTGTCGATGTTACAACCCTTGCCAGGTATTGTTACTCTTGTCAACTGTATATTCTTAAAAGGAAACATTTATGAAATATGTAGCTATCATTAAAATGATATTATTTTGGTTAGCTTTTATGGACTATTTACTGTATATAACATTATATGATTATATATTTTTGACACAAAGTATAAATGACATTCTAGTCATTAAAATAACTGAAGTAGAATTTACAAAAAAGAAGCTAATGTGCAAAGTTAAAATGGCTGAGTATGATCAATTGGTTTGTTCTGGACTGTAGATGTGAGATTCATTTTCCATTTCTGGAGAAAAACTCAAACTCTGCACTTTGGAGCTGTGGGAGTGTTATAAGTGTGATGATCAAATTCTTCTGTTTGGTCTGACAAGATTGTCAGGTTTTATGTATGGGCTGGATTTTTTACAGTAGGTGTCTGTGACTTGTTGGCGATAAATTTAAACAATAAACAAAGAGCACACAGTCCACTAGTTTTAAAATAATATATTAAAACAAGCCAAACATATATACAAATGTTTGTTACACTGTTGATTGTCACAGTTGTATCCAGAGCTTTAAATAATTGTCTCTTTTTTTTTTTTTTCGTCAGAGTCCACACAGGCTGGTTCAGTTACTTTAGAATACAATTGAAAAGACAAATTATTCTTCTCTACTCTGTTATTACAATACAATCTGATAATTTCACTTTAGAAATCCCCACTATATGCTCTTTATCATTAAACTCACAATCACATAGTCTATATCTATCTATCTATGCCTCAAACTACATTTTGGATGTGTATTTATAGCCCAACAGTGGCCTAGAACGTTTCACACACTATGAGATTTTATTATGGAATAATACTCAATTTAAACAAGAAGAAAATTTGGAAGGTTTTAGTAACATGATGCAATAATACAACCAGTTCACAACAATTGAACTACACAATGCATGATTCACACACAGTTATGTAAACAAACTTGTGATAAGCTGTTGCTTCTAAAAATAACTAAATTTAACACTCGCACTATATAAACTATCTAAATCATAGGTCTTTCCTGGTCTATCTGTGAAGACCTCTGTGTACTGACACAGTAGATCTTGTAGCTCTTTATTCTGCTTGCTAGTCAGTTCTTCACTGATGTTGATGTCTTTGTACATCTCACCTCCACCCAGAAAAGTGTTTAAGTATCTTAAATTGTCTGCAAACTTACTACACTAAAAACCAGGTTTTGATACTCATGGTAGGCACAGCACAGATAACCCATTGTGTAGCTTTTTGCTGAACAACAAACAAACAAATTTTTTTAATTAGTTGTTTGTTTGTTTATAGAGCAAAGCCATGTTAGTTTATTTGCTGTCTCCACTGTGGGGGATTGAACCCCAGATATTACCATTGTAAGTATTTAAACTTACAGCTATTCCACTTGGGAAGTATTGTTTAAATAAATTCCAAACCTCAGACTTCTTTTCTATGTGATCACAATTTTGAGCTCGCCCCTTACTTCAGTCATCTTCTTTAGAAATGAGATCCTATTCTGAACTTCTAATTTAAGAGTAGCTAGTTGTTTATATATAAGTTTTTTATTTAAGCAATAACAGTGTACATCATGTACTGAAGATTTTAACCCACAGGCTCATGCAGAAGTTTCTTATTAAAATGTCATATAATATTATAGACCTACTTATTATTCTATTATTTATTCATTTAAAGTGTTTATAGGTTTATACTTGTATTACACTTCTTTTATGGCCAAAAATTCTAACAGTAACTAATTTTTATAAACAGAAAGTTAAAAAAAAGTATATTTGATTGGCTGTACTGATGACAAGGTTGATTTATAGTTTTGCTCTAAGCATATAGCTTACTCTGATCAGAAGTTATTATAATATAGAGTAAATACATGATATATAAAGACAATTATTCTAATTTGGTTCACTCACATAAGTTCATGTAATTGGCATCTATAATATGCAACACCAGTATATAGTTTACATTGAAGAGTTGCAATTTGTGATTTAAAGTGATACAATTAGATAGTGTGCTTACAAAGGCAACATTGTACTTATATATATTAAAAATCAAAATAATAATGTAGCCCCCAGTAATTCTGTGCAATTATAACACTAAAATTTTTTCTTATAGTTACATAACTGTGAAGAAGGAGAGCGTTGTGTTGTCAGAGTTAATGACAACAAAGATGATGAAGCAAGAATAGAAGCTACTTGCCAAAAACGTATGTCACATCATCTTTGTCTATTTTCAGTCCCAGTTTTTTACAAAAATTTTGAATTTACCTTTTAATATAAATGAAAAAATATATATTTTGTAAATAAGCATCATTACGAGGAACATGAACAACTTTCTCAGAGTTTCCTTTTTAAAGTAAATTATTAAAATGGTATATAAAAAAGTGCACTTATTAGCAATTAAATTTCACTATGTAATTAACTGATAAAGATATCTGACTTGAAACACTTGTCCAAAAATTAAACTAGGTATTTGTAAAAAGTTTCTTACAAATTTTGTTTATTTCAGCATTTGCAAACTTTTTACTAAAATACACTGTTGTGGTATTCAGATACAATGTTATATTACATTTAACTTATAAATTTATCATAAATGTAATGACATATGAAATACATACTTGTAACTTTATACAAAAATCATAACAGGGGAAAATGTATGAAAGATAGTTAACCAAAATGATTAATTTCAACAGAAATGTATATATCTGATAGGAATCTATCATCATGATAAACTCTTCAATAGTTTATTTCAGTTTTAAAATCAAAATTAAAAATTTTTTCTTGATCCTTCCAATTTGTCTGTTCTTCAAAGTTCTTGCACTGCTTTACTCCCCATTTTGTGGAGTTCATCTGGTGGCACCATATTGGCTGGGTCAGCCTTGGTTTCCACTCCTTCAATATCTTTAGGAGTGCCAACCTCTTCTGCTTCCTCTCTGGCCATCCCTCTTATGTGAGTCTTGGTTGGACATTCTTCATCCGGCAATCACTATTCTCTCTGGCTTCACACCTGGATTTTACACAGTCCATTGCACGTCATTGTAGATTGACCTCTCAGGTAGCATTTTTATTAATGCAGTCCATTTGGCATTCTTTGTTTGATGTTTATCAATGGAAATGATTTAGTTATCGTCAGTGGTCTATCAGACGTGGTTTTAATCCCTCTTGTCCCACTGTTCCACATGTTTCTCGATTTCTGACATGGTTATTCAACAAAAGTTTGGCACCTTCGTCCATTTCTCTGTACAAGACAGCTTTTTCAGCTACTTTTCGTTTTTCTGGAAGACGTAAAGTTTTTAAGTCTCTGGTTTTGTCCTTGCTTCTGATATTTTTATGGTTTATATGTCCTTGATGTCCTTTCCTGGTTCCTAATTTGGATATCTCTTTGAACCTTTGATGTCATGTTCCCTATATCACCTTTCACTTAAAACTTATTTTCTTCTCTTGTTAGCTAACATTCAGATGTGTTTGCAATTTGTATTCATAAGACTCTTTACCATTCCACTTATGATTTGTTGTATCCCAATAGATCCTTTCTTCCCCAAACTTCAGTGGCTAAAGAAGGGGATAAGGCTTTCTTCCCTATTCATCTTCCCCCATTTCTCATATTTATGATCGCTCATATCCAGATCTTCTTTTATGCCCAGTTCAAGCTTTTCGATATTATGTTGCATGCACTGAAGGGTTTTGGGGTTTATGTCACTGTTTGTTTATCCATTGGGATCTTAAGGTTTCACATGACTTATCCCCTGTCACTTTGACAGATTGGGTTCATCAATTGGTGTGTATTGCTAACTCTGGGCTTTCAGATGAGGAGTGGAGACTTCTTTGGGTCTTATCTTATCAAATTATCCATATCTCAATCCCCCTAGCAGCTCTGTTGTGTCACCCACTTGAAGAAATTGTCCAAGCTAGTATGTGGACCACGCCTAATATTTTTATATCTCATTATTTACATGATTTGGCAATTGCCTCCATGGAAGGTTTTTGGCTACCCATAGATATTCTCCATGCCCTAGCTAGTTTCTAAAAGAGGCGAGTTACTTCATTTCTTTTGTGTTTCTTTCTATTCTTTTTCAGGAATACTCTCGTCATTTTCATTAGGTTTCCACTCTGTGGTGATTTTGCCTAGTCAGGTATGCTTATTTCCAAATCCACATTTGCTACCAGTCGACCAATAAAAAAAAACATTCCTTGTAGCAATGAGCTCTATTGAGATGGGGTGTTCCATAAGACTACCATAAGACAAAATACACTACTGGACTACCACTCATGGACTATTATGAGTAAAGCTTAAGGGGATTTTTCCCATCCCTGCTGACTCTTAGATTGAATAAATTGGGGTCGGTTGGCCTTTCAAAATAGTGAACTATTGCACTGTCTCTGGAGCATCATTTCTCAGAACTCCCCATTGTGAGTAATCCCCCCCCCTCTCATTTCTTCTAGTGGAGCATGGAAGTCTTTACCACTCCCAGTTTACAGTCGTTGGAGTGGTTAACAGAGGTTTATTCCTCCTGATTGATGCTTGAACTCATTATTCCAATCAAGGAGAAGAGAGCAAATTTCCTACCAATAACCCTGAATGGTTTTTCCAGATGTATGTTAGGAGCAGGACCAGTCTACAAGGGAGTCTTCTTGTAATTCCAGTTCAGAGATGACTCTTTGCTCTCTGGTTGAGTTGAGCATGGCCCTTCTTTTTGGTCATCATGGAAGAGGGTCCTCGACCCCTTCTAATTCTATACAAGAGCATAAATTCCTGAGCCATTGGTTGGACTTAATTTGTTCCACATCCTCCTCATAATTTGGGAGCAGGTGTTGTTGCCTTGCCCCCTCAGATTGGGGATATAGGATTTCAGTTCATAATCCCAGGCCGAGTAATCTCTGTTTCTTCAGGATGAGTGAGGCATGACAGGTCCTATAATTCTGAGTTTGGTGCATTGCATTTTGTGCTTCTTCAGGTTGGGGCGAGGGCTTGTCCACTTGGTGTTGCCTTGCCATCTCTTCATAATTCTGGTGGCTCAACATGCAACATTCTGTAACTTTCAGGTTGAGTTACAAGACTACCACTTTACTAATTGTTGGATATACAAGACTGTTTAGCTTCATAGTTATTATTTAGTTTATTTAGTGATTTAATATTTAATGATCATTTAGTTTCATAAGAAGTGCATTAAAAGTTAATTATTTTAAAAGTAATGGTTATGACAAGTTTGTTATGTAACTTTGTATGAGTTGTACCTTGTGTATGCTGTTTAATTGATGTACTAGGCTTTAGTAATATTACTGACATCATCTTACTCGAAGTTTTTCTAGTTTTGTGTAATATTATTGCTACTAGAGGGTTAGGGATTTCTATATTATTCTGCTGCGTGTTATAAATATGTGCAAATAGAAGAAAGCAAGTTAAGTGAGAGATAATTGGACAGATCTAGACTGAGTTATTGGCAGTTTAGCAGTGACGGGCGATTTCTAAAAAAGTAAAAAAAAAAAAAAAGATAGTTAGAGTTAGTTATTGAAAGAAAACATGAAGTTAGTTGGTGTGTGTGAGTGATTAGCCTTAATGGGTGATTTCTATAGTGTGTTTCACAGATGTATTGTAACAACAGAATAGGAAAAATAATTTGTCTTATCAATTGGTTTTAAAGTAACTGAATTGGCCTGTATGGACTATTGACAGAAAAAAAAGACAATTATTTAAAGCTTTGAATACAACTGTGCATGGTAACCAACAAGTTAAGTGAAGTAAGTCAGAAAAAGTTTAGTTAGTGAAAGTGAAGTTTGACTGTGTGATTGTTAGTTTAGCTGTAATGGGCAGTATTTTAAAGGAAGTTTCACAGTTTAACAGAGCTAAAAAGAATAGTTTGTCTTGTCAAAGGGTGTTCTAAAGTAATTGAACCAATCTATGTGGACATTGACAAAATGGAGACAATTACTTAAAGCTCTGGATATGACTTGGTAGTTTGCTGAGTTGTGTCAGTTACAGGATGCACCTTATCATCCTTATTCTGCAAGTTTGGACAAAAAAAAAAGTCTTCCAAACTGTAAAGCATATGTTTGTCAATTTTGTAATCTCATACTGAACTGAGATGGATGACTGCCTGCAATATGTAATGACAGATCACCATGCAACAGAGCAGCAATCTGCCAGTTGTTCTTCATACATGTTAATGTTTGAAAAAAAAATATTCTCCCTTTGGCTGTAATATATGGATTGCTACAGCATAAAACTATTTGGTGTAATTGAGATCCACAGTAACTAACACCTATTAATATGTAGTTCAACAGATGGGAGAAATGACCAAAGGTTTCTGGTACTTTATAATGATAAACAATAATTGTATTCTTAAGTTATTTAACATAAAGGAGAAAAATGAAGGATAAATTCCATAACTTTAAGAAGGTTAGAAAATTTACACAACTATAGGCAAGCTAAGTATGTGGTTAAAAGAAATTAAGGAATCCAAATAAGCTTATGAGTAACAGTTCACACATATCAAAGTTAACAGTAAAGATTTTTTAAGTATTGTTAAAGGCAAGCAAAATGTTAAAATGGTGATTGGATCCTTGAAGGATGCTGATGGCAAGGTTGAATACCATGTAATGTTGGCCTTTTAAATGTTCTCTTCTGTTTTTACAATGAAGAATGTTAGCAATATTCATGACTTTGACCATTCTATTGGAAATGTCGGAATTAAGGTGAAACATTTAAATATTAATATCTTGGTGGTGAGTGGAAACACTGAAAGCACCAGGACCAGATAATGTTTTTCCCAAAGTCTTAAAGGAGATCAGATATTAGATATATATTCCCCTGTCTTTCATTTTTGTTAGATCAGTGGACAGTGGGCAAGTGCTTGAGTATTAAAATTTGTTTTTATTTTACTCCTATTCTTAAAGAGGTGATAAACAAGAGCTGTCTTGGAAATTATAGGCCATATTTTTGTAGGATGAAAAATTCTAGAGTCTGAGAATAGAAACTTTAAAAAACATTAAATGAAATATAATAGCATTAATGAAGGCTAACATGGATTCATTAAAGATGAAACCTTGTCTGCTAATGTGTTATCTTTTATCAAGGGCATTACTTGTTAGCTGGACAAGGGGAAAGGTGTGGACTTGATAAACTTAGATTTTCAACTTGGACCTCACTTAGAATACAGAATACTGTATACAGTGTTGGTCTCCTTACTAAGAAAGAATATTAACTTTTTGGATAAAGCTAAGCTAGAGAATGGCTGCTTGACTGATTCCAAAAAGAAATTTTGATCTCTTAACATATTTGCTCTTGAGAAAAGGGTAATAGGTGATCTTATGGAATGTTACGAGATTATGAGGGGATTAATAGGATAAAGGCCTCTAATTTTTTGTGCTACATTCTGAAGGTAGTAGGACAAAGGAACACAAATTTAAAATTTGGAAACGACAGTATAGGCCAATTAAACAGATTTATTTTTCAAAGAGGATAAGTTATAATTTTCCTATACTGAAAATGTATTTCCTATATTTACTTTCCTCATTCACAAGATTAGCTATTCTCGTCCAGTGCTGTCCTCTATTTGCAAATGTTTTCTTTATGCATGCCACAAGCTGTCTGCTCCTCCTATTGGAATTGAATGATACCAACATGTCTCTCATGTAAATCATCATGCATCACTTCTCAACCAATAGGAGCATGACTTACGTGACGCCCTCTATATGCCTCTACCAAACTATCACTTCGAGGTTTGGCAGAAGACATAAGCACCTAAAGAAAGTGGGGAGAAAGGGTGGAAAGTGTGAGAGAGGAAAGTACCTATTAGAAATACCTTTTCAGTATAGGAAAATTATAACTTCCAATACAAGTGGAAGACAAAAACCCAACGAAGAAACAATATAGTGTACATAATAGGAGACGAAAATATTAGGTGTAGTCCACATATCCAACTGTAGGATTTCCTCCAATGGTGGACAAAGATGAGATGCGAAAGAAAAGGTGAGGTGTCGAATCTGATGAGAAAACACCTGGAACAAATTCCAGGAGAAATAAGCCAATCAAATCAAAAGAAAAACCCAATTGAGATAGTTCCCCTTCTACCCTCACCAAACAGAGGAAGACTGCCAAGGGATAAAGAGTCGGGAACGAGTACAACGAAAGGAAGCCTTGTGAGCAGGATAACAACAAAAAGTACATACTGGACATAGAAGTCTATCCAGAACAGGATGAGGGTAGAAATAAAAAATAGAAAGAAGGGAAATAGGCAAAAAGGAGAAGTTACCCTCCCTAGCCACCAAGGTCTTTGGGAGGAAGGAACGATCTGGATAAAGGAGATGATAGGTATGGTGGTAAAGCATACATGAAACATCAATGGCAAACAAATCAGACATTCGACATCCACAGGTTAAGAGGAGAAGGAAATATGTTTTAAGGGAAAGGTGAGATATTGAACACAGGGAAAGTGGTTCAAACAGGGGTAAAATGAAGGAATGGAGGACCACATTCATATCCCAGTTTGGAAGAATATGCCATCTGGGGGGACAACAAATCCAGAAGGAATGCAATAACATAGCAAGGACAGGGGAGGCAAAAACTCAATGGTATCGGGAAAATGAAAGGTATGGGATCAGGCAGCCTGATAATCTAAGGGTGAGGAGACCGAAGACCGCTGGTCAAAAAGCCATGTGAAAAACTCTGCCTCTTGAGCTGCAATAGTTCAGTCAGTGTAGGATCTCAGAATCACAGCCCAACTGTGGAACACTTTCCATTTATGCTGATACACCTCCATTCAAGAAGGGCATATGGAATGAGCTAATAGGAAAACTACTTGATTGGAGAAACCTAGTCTCTTCGCCAAGGACCAGTTAATACTAAAGTATGAATACAAAAGACGTGAATGGCTGGATGTAGAACCAGTGGCCAAGGTTGATGAAGAATGGAAGGAGACAAAGGAAGAGGTGCTGGAGGAAAAATGTTTCAGTTGTTGTAATCATAGAAACCATGGTTGAGCTGGCCAATAAGGAGCAATCAGAAGGGCTCTACACAGAGTAGCATGGATGAGAAAGATCATTCAATGAAGTAATCAAATAGGTGGATAAACATAAAGGAATTTGTAGGACCAATCCTAGCTGAATGCATCAATAGCCAGAGACCAAGGATGAGGTACCAGGGAACAGAAGAGGGGAAACTTGTGATTGAAGTATATGGCAAATGCATCTACATGGGGAAAATCCCACCAATTGCAAAGCCACCAGAAAATGAGGGGATTTAAAGACCACTCCGTTAAATAAATTTGTTCGGGGTGGGAAAGACAGTCTGCTACAAGATTGAAAGCACTCGGAATGGGACATGCAATGAGATGAATGTGATGCATGCAGGCCCAATATAGTAGATCCAACATTTGAAAACAGACAAATCTCCACTGGGTGCTCCCTTGGTGATTGATATGTGCTACCACTGTAGAATTGTTGGAATAAATCATCACCAGACAATGCCTGGTGAGAGGAAGGAAGTGATTCAAAGCCTGATAGACTGTGAGAAACTCGAGGACGTTGATATGAACAGATCTTTCATCTACAGACCAACGACCCAAAGCCTCCTGGTGATTGAATCATAGATTCAAGCCCTGAAGGAATACATCTATGAAAAGATGTAAATCTGGATGAGGAGGAAGCAGGGCACCCATTGATGTATGGGCCTTGTCCAACTACCAATGCAGATCATCCATCAGGGTAAAAGGAAGGGTAACAGGAGCTGACAAGGGATCCTGAGCAAGGTTCCATTGATTGTGAAGAGCCCACATCCCAAAAAGTGATAGAACCTCCTGAGCAGAAAGTGAGGGAGCTGGCATGGGGAACTAACTAACAAAATCGTATAGGAGAAGGTTGAGCCTGACTGAGATGAGTGTTGAAAAAGACACCCAAGTGGATGAGATTTTGGGTAGGTGAGAGGAAGGACTTCTTCAATTTGATTAACCAGCCCACCCACGCAGCCACTAGAAGGAGCTGACAAGTATGGCTGGCCGACTCCAGTTCAGAATGAACCAGAAGAAGCCAGTTGTCCATATAATGGTAGAATTGCAACCCCAAAGCATGAAGATGGCGGGCAAAAGTGCTGACCATCTGACAAAAAACATAAGGGGCAGAAGCATGCCAGAGGGGTAGAGCACGAAATTGAGAAACTACCCCGAGATGGATGAACCGAAGTTATGGACGAGACCACGGTGATATAAGGATGTGGAGATAAGCATTGACGACATCCATCTTGGACAACCAGAGGCTCAAAGAAAATGCCCACCATAGGGTTAGAAATGATTCCATGGTAAAACAGAACAGTTAAAGCAGTTGAGGTGGGACAAATCTATGACAGGCCTCCAGTCCCTGGTTCTCTTGGGAACAACAAAGAGTCTAGAATAAAAACCTGGTGAAGGATGTAGAACAGGTTCGATGGCCTGCTGAGATAGTAGTACCTGAACCACATCTGACAGATGCTGGCTGGTCATGGGATCCTGAGGTGGAGGAAAGGAAACAGGTATAGGAGACTTGGGAGGTAGGGAAAAAACGGGATCACGAATCCTTCCGATGAAACTCAAGAACCCAATGATCTTTGATGAAAATATGCCAGTGATGAAGAAAATTGGCAAACTGAGCTCCCACTGGGTACCACCGATACTGTTGGTGACGTGAAGTGCTGAGGTATATGGAGAGAGCCCTTTGCATCATGTATGTCATGCTTCTATTGGTGGAGAAGTGATGCATGATGATTTACATAAGGGACATGTTGGAATCATTTGATTCCAATAGGGGGGAGCAGAAGGCTTGTGGCTTGCATAAAGAAAAAGCTTTGTTTATATAGGGCAGCACTGGACAAGAATAGCTAATCTTGTGAGCAGAGGGAATACCATATCGGAATTGACTTATGGAGTAAATTGTTGTCAGAAATAATGGAGGCCAGTGCTTTAAAAAAGAAGTCAATTATTTCTTGAAAAATAAAGGGTGGAATTAAATTTTTACTTTCTTCAAGAATAGATATACAAGGACAGTCTTGAAGAATCAAATAGTTTCTTGTTCCCCAGATGTTTATGATAATTTAATTTGTTATTAATTCTGATTATATGTAGGGCTAAAACGTTTTAATTTTCTTTACCTCATATACATGTTTATACAACTTGCAGCTGTACATCTTCCTTAATACTATTTTCTCATGCATTCTCAAATAGAAATTAAGCCTGGCCAATGTCCATCATCTGAAAGTTTTATGGCCAATGAAACACTTGAGATACGCAGAAGAACTTGTAGACATTACTGTCGTGATGATGCAGATTGTCTTGGTAGCAATAAGTGTTGTTTTAAAGGATGTACCAAACGTTGTACAGTACCAACCATAACAAGTGAGTTGGTTAATTTACTAATTAATAATACCTTCTGTAATTTGTGTGTATCATATATTGTGAAATCAAATTACACATTGGATAAACTTCTATTTTACACTGATGTCTAATTTAAGTTTTTTACATGAAATCACAATTAATGTGAAATACCATTGATATGTATTCTAATGAAACTGTTCTGTAAATTGCTTTATACCACATTCATTATCATTAAAGTAATCTGTCAATTGTTTGTTAATTTCATCTTATGTTACATGTTATTGTTTTTCTTTTGCTGTAAAAGTAAATTTTCTGGGACAAGCAGTTGTACATAATGTATTGCTGCAGTCAAACTCACTATTTCACTTTCACGTACTGTAAAACGTACAAATATGTGTTACACAGGAATTAACATTCAACAAATTATAACTACTTACCAAAATGGAAAAACTTCCTAAGTTTAATAAAACAAAAAAACAACATAACTATGCACAAATAATTTATTTAAAATCAAACTTAAATCACATACAGAAAACTAAAATTTGATGACAGCTGATTGAGTCAATCAAAACGTATCAGTTATTTGTATACTTGTGTATGATTTTAGTTTGATTTTAGGTAAACTTATTCAAACATAGTAATGTTGTATGTTGTTGTTTTACTTACTAAAATATTAAAAGGAAATGTGTTAAAGTTTGAAAATACACAAAGTTGAATTTTGAACTCTTAATCTACAGCATATTTTGTTTTGTTTTTAATTGAAAGACACTGAAACTTTAAAAGTGAATCTTACTTAATAGTTTTAGAAACTTGCCTAAAAAAAAGGAACACAACCTTACAATAATCTTAATTACAGTTAACATAAAATAGCTTAAAGATGTGTTCTTACAAATGAGGTTTTATGTTAGCAACAACCATACCAACAACAACGGAAGAAGAAACTGTGAAATCAGGATCTCGAGTTGTTTTCAGTTGTTTGAGCCAAGGTGTAGCCACTTCTGCAGCAAAGTGGACAAAGGATAGCATGCCAGTGGACTTCATAAGTGGAAGGTTTCAGAAACTTTCAGATGGATCCCTACAGATTAATCCGGTAAAGTCTAAAGACTCGGGTTTATATAAATGTGAATCAAGAAATGAATTTGAGGGTCAGATGTATCGTTTAATCAACATGACTGTACAAGGTAAGAAGAAGTAGCTGTTATCCACAAAATAATTTTGCTGTTTTTCTTTACTGCTATTAAAGGTTAAATTAACATTTTTCAAAGTTACATTTATTACGGTTTTAATACAATTACAAGAAATTGATTTTAAAGTTTATATTGTGAAGTTACTTGGCTTGAATACATCATTCTCATCAACTATATTATCATCTTCAACTTTAGACTACATACTGGTATTTTCCAAAACTTGGAACACTTAGAACACTTAGACTCATTACAGACAACCCATTCCAGAGGCCAAACACTTAGAAAATGAAGCTTACTTCTTTCCTGCCAAAATTTATATTTCTGTCCCCTAGTCTTACCATTCTCACCATCGATAGATTTGTGCTTCCAATTATTGCTAATATTGGTCTATGTATAATTATACTGGTTATCAGCTTTACATAATTGAACTGATGTTATGTATAGTTAGTACTAACTCTGGGCTTTGTGATTCTAGCTCAGGGGAGTGGGATCATTCCCTACATATAGGTCAGTATGGATGGGGGCTCAGCCCAAAAGGATAGTTTTTTATTTTGCAGTCCAGGAAAGGGTAGGATTTTTAGATTTTCTGAATTTTCTTTCAGGAAAGAGTAATTTCTTTGCATCTTCAGCCCCAGAAAAGATTGTATTTTGGGCAGTTTGTGACTTCATTGTCTGATAGACTGTCACTCTTAAATTCTGTGTGTGTATGTATATATTGTTTAAAGGTAATTATATTTTACTATGATGATAAACATAAGTAATCATGGTTTCTAATGAAATAAATGTTATTTTTTCTAGTCTAAATAACAGTATAGTTTATCAGTAAGTTTTCAATGAAAGGGGTTGTAATTTTCAGCCCTTGTCTAGGAAAAGGTGCATTTTTTCAAAAATCCAGAAGATTGTAAAAGTGTAATAATTTGGAGGTATGGGCTGAGCCCCCCTCCCCACCCACCCATATGATATATTTGGAAGTAACATAACATTAACAGATAACAAGGGACCTTTTGGTCCATCTAGGCTGTCCAATCCACAAAATTAAACCTAAACCTTTAATAATAATAACATAAAATAACTCCTCAAAGCCTGCCCTCATGATTCAAATATTTATCAAGCTTTTCCTTAAACTCCCTCAAATTTACTGCTTGTTTGTTTTTTGTTTGTTTGACGTTAAGCACAAAGCTACACAATGGGCTATCTTTGCTCTGCCCACCATGGGTATCAAAACCCAGTTTCTAGCATTGTAAGTCTGCAGACATACCACTGTGCCACTGGGGGGCCAAATTTACTGCATCCACCACATCTGAAGACAACCCATTCCAGAGGCAAATCACTTAGATAAATGAAGCTGACTTGGCTGAAGATGACTTCTTCCTTGCCAAAATTTATATTTCTGTCCCCTAGTCTTACCATTCTCACCATTACATATGAAAAAAAAGTCATGCATAAACACTATTAATTACCTTAATAATCTTAAACACCTCAATCAGATCCCCTCTACCCTTTTTTCAAGAGAAAACAAGCTCAGAGATCTTAACTTACCCACACATGATAACATTTACACACCAGGTATCATCATAACAGCCCTCCTCTGAACCTTTCCAGAAATTTAATGTTCTTTTTCAGGTAAGGAGCCCAAGACTGAACACAGTACTCCAAATGTGGCCTACTCAGTGACCTAAACAATGAAATTATAACCTCTTTATACTTACATTCAGTATTTTGTTTATGCAACCTAAAATGTTATTTGCACTACCAATACCAACAGCACATTGCTTAGATGGCTTAAGAGCTTAGTCAACCAGAACACTTAATGCCAGGAGCTATGGTCTTTACAATAATGAATTGATATTATATTATATACAGTTAGTGCTAGCTCTGTCCTTTACAAGATTAAATTGAGGTTGTACTATGTACACTTGGTGCTAGTTTTGGTGTTTACAATACTTGGTTGATCTAATAACACAATAACAGTAGTTTGTACTTTCTCTAAGCTCTATTAAGCTACTGCAACAGAAGATAGAGTTATTACTGACTGACTGAACTTTAGAGTGTATATCTAATACAGTTAATACTAGTTCTTGACAAAACTAAGACACTGGCAGAGTAGGTATTTCATTCAAAACTCTTAAGCTTTTTTCATCTTAAGGTAACACTCATTTGATTTTATAGCAGATATAGTTAGTTCTAGATGGGGACATTTGTGATTGGATATTGTGGCAGGTATAATTACTTCTAAATGAGGACACTATTGATTGTTTGTTGTAGCAGACATAATTACTTCTACATGTTTACATTAGTGATTGGATATTGTAGTAGGCATAATTAGCTCTCAGTGTAAACAATATTTATTGTTTATTGTAGCAGTTATGATTAATTCTAGATGTAAACATTATTGGTTTTTATGTTTTTTTTTAGTAATTTGATTAATTCTAGTTGTGGACATTATTGGTTTTTATGTTTTTTTTTAGTAATTTGATTAGTTCTAGATGTGGACATTATTGAATGATTTCTGTAGCAGATATAATTAGTTCTAGATGAGTACATTATTGATTGTTTATTGTAGCAGTTAAAATTAGTTCCACATGTAGGCATTGATATTTCAATAATTAAAAGGTATCGTTAGCTCTAGATGTAGAAATTGGTTGAACATAAAAGTAGTTATAATTAGTTCTTGATATAGACATTATTGATTGTTTTTTGTATCAAATATAATTCTACATGTATACATTATTCATTGTTTATTGTAGTAGGTATAATTACATCTAGATGTATACATTGTTGATTGTATATTACAGAAGGTATGATAAGTTCTAGATATAGGAAATTATTGTTTATTATAGCAGTGATAATTACTTCTAGATGTATACCTTATTTATAATTTACTGCAGAAGGTATGATTAGTTCTATATATGTAAATTATTGATTAGATATTGTAGCAGGTTTGAGTACTTCTAGATATAGACATTATTGGTTGTTTTTGTAGCAGTTAGGATTAATTCTGGATGTGGATATTATTCACTGTTTATTGTAGAAGGTATAAATAGTTCTAGTGTTGGACCTTATTTATTTTTTATTGTAGCAAGTATAATTATTTCTTGATGTGAATAGTATTGATTGGTTAATGTAGCATGTACAATTACTGCTATATGCATGGATTATTTATTGGACTAGCACATAGTCCATCAAAAATGATGGAGCAAGTACTACCACCCCATAGTATACCTTAACCTCACATTTCATAGCTAACTAAAATAAATACATTTGGGAAATCAAGCTTGACCAACAAAGAGGCAGAAAAGCGCAGTTGAGGCAGTCAGATGTCGGTACATTCCTGTGTGAACCAATTAAAATTAAAATCATTCATGAAATGAATTAGTGACATATTCATGAAATAATTATTGGTAAAAATTTGTTAGATTAACAACATCTAATATATAGAAAAGCTAGTGCATTGTGGTAACACTGCATTCCAACAATAGTTTTTATGTCAAGTTGCTTAGCAACAAAAATTTGGTTTGGTTGTAATTAAACACAAAGTTGCACAATAGGCTATCTGTGCTCTGCCCACCATGGGTATCAAAACCCGGATTCTAGCATTGTAAGTCCACAGACATACCACTGTGCCACTGGGGGCAGCAACAAAAGTATTGTTGCGTCAGCGAGGTCACGTGACTAGTGTCACGCCACATTTTCTAGAAATATCCTGTTCCTTCGTGAATACCCTAGCATTTACTAGATTGGGGGTAGTCTGGTATATATAAGATGGTCACAACGTGATGGGACAATGTGTGTAGGTAGTGAGTAATTGAACTGCAGTCAGAAAGTATTGTTGAAGTTAACGTTCGTTGTTATAGCGTTTGTTGTGGAGCGACTGTTGAAAGTGGGTGTATCGGTAGGGTTGTATTCGGAGACAATAAACTGGTTTTGTTGAGCGAGGACTTGTGTCGCCGAGGTTTCGTCGGAACGAAGTTGCGGAAAGTCAGCTGACGAGCGGAGACGTAACAGATTGGTGTCAGAGAGTGGGACTCTGTACTTATTATCGGAGGTTTGTGAAGGACTTTGCAACTATAGCTGCTCCACTACATGATTTGACTAAAAAAGGCCAGAA